ACTCCCAACTGTTGCAAAGTCCCCATGCCCTTCCTTGGCCATCGCTTCTTCTCGGCTCACCGGCATAGAGGCTCCATCACCGTAGGGCCTAAAAACGCGGTTGAAGGTCTGGGGATTAGGGTTTCCGGATTAAGGGTCAGGGTTTAGGGATCAGAGTTTAGGTTTAAGTAGACCCACAAGCTCCAACTAGTCTTACCGGTGTTAAAGGGCACTGCTAGAACATCTAGGGTTCAGGCTTAGGTTTGAGGGTGCGGGAGTGAAAACAGGTACGATGATGGGGGATGATGTAGGAGTGAGGTTAGATGATCTACCTCCCCACCTTTAACAGCAGTAAGTCGCGCAGGCGTCTCAATGAATAGATTACAGGGCATGGGGCTGCGGGTTTAGAGCCCAAACAATAGATAATCAACTTACATAGGCTGGTGAGCTGCTTATCGGCCACCTATGTAACTAAACATAACGAAGCCCTTTTACGCAAATTACAACCCTCCTTGTGCCTCTGTAAAACAAAAACTCCCGGCAAAGAGACCACCAACTGGTGTAAAGTCTAGCTCTGCGCAGCATGTGAGCGGACAATCTTCCTACCTGCTCAGGCTTCTAAATTCCTTGCATGCAGCAAACCAATTCCCATAAGTTTACCTATGTCCAGTCCTGAAACTATCTGATGTGAATGTCATGTATAACGTGGGGCTTTTAGCCCACAACCCCGGAACCTGCGCAGGGACGGCTATCACAAGACTCACATGTAGAGTAGCCTGTAGGGGTGGTTTAGGGCTAAGCGTGCTACACATTGCTAATCCGAAGGGCCCATCATGTTAACGCGACACCCCTCAACCCTAAAAATCTGGCTGACTCAGGGATGGTTTCAGGAGAGTTTAGGGCTGAGAGTCTTTGAGTTTCAGCTTGGGCTTTAAGGGGTTCTTACAGAAGTGCCTTGGGGCCAAGGTGGGCATGCAGAGCATTTCGGAAAGTCGATTTGTTGCTTCGTTTGGCAATTGGAGAAGTGGAAAGACTCCGAACATTGAGGGATAAGGGCAAAGACCCGAATACAACTTCATTACGAGAGCATACTCTAGATAATGCTGCAATGATACTTGTATGAGGGGGCAGCATTCTGGGAGGTTGGCATTCATCTACATGGGGTTCTGAAGGCGGAGCCCTCAGAACACGGAGCCGACGACTTTGGGATGAGGCTTTATGGTAACGTTGAAGGTCTATGATGGGCTCCAACAAGTTGAGTGGTACTAGAGTCTCATGATCTGAATTCGGAGCATACTTTGAAGTGCCCTGGAGCTACAAGTTACTGAGCCCGATATAACCTCCTCTTGTAACCCTTTTGAAAAAAGGTTACCGCACTCATTAGCCACCCATGCTACCCCAAGGTCCCACATAGTAGTGTCTCGAGCAGCTTGCTTCAGCAGATGTCGCAATCAACATTGATATCAGCTGACGGAACAGCTGCAACAGAAGGTGTCCTTAGCGACCTGGCCCTCTCTTGACTGTCTGAAAATGGTTTGACACCGTTACCTCAACTGAGTGATGGGGTACACTAAGCAAGGCACCAGCTGGGACTTCTACTCAGAACTCAATGTCACTGAATAGGGAGAACAAGCATGAACATAAATTGCAGGACAATCCCTGAGCCCTACCTCAACATGAAGAATTGATTAGGATTTGGAATTGTTGATGCCAGTACATAGACATACCGACATTAACAGCACAAGTCAAGGCTTTATCCCAATCCGGTCGTCATTTGGTCCGTCTGCGCGGTCATCAGTCATCGCAACGAGGCCGGAGACTGGGTGGCGCACGTGCGCAAGGCTGTGGGTACAACTGCCATGGCAGGCCTGAACGACAAGTATTAATAATAGTAGTACTCATAACAACACTAAGGGTACTAATGACCATAGTACTAATACGAGCATTAATCAGGATAGTAACAATTCTAGTAAAAGTGGCCATGCAAGCGCAACAGGTGGCAACAGAGTGTTCATCGGGATTGACATCGTATGTGCACTGTCAAGCGATGGTCCTGGTTGGTATTTTGGTGAATTCCGCGGGGAACTCTAAAACGTTGAAAAGCGGTGCTGCAGGCTGTGCAAATGCTCACTTTCGTCCAGTGTGCGAAACGTAAGCATGCCAACCTCTAGAAATCGCCTACGCGCTATAATGGGTAAAGTCCATTGTTGCAAGCGGCTGCTTAGAACAACATGCAGCCACTACCAAAAACCTGGCCATCAATAAATCATACAATTTCGGAACTTCGAGCGCCACACTGCAACATGATCAAATTTCAAGCGTTACAAATGAATCCTCTGAATCCTCGCACCGCCCATGGCGGCGCTGGTGGTTCGCTTTAGTGTATGGCACCCGTCAACCATCTTGAGCTGAGCTTCTTTAAGCAGAACCCCTAAACAACGTTGGGGTTGCTTGGCCGGGTGATATTACTATTACTAGTAGGACTTTTTGAACCCTAAGCCTGAGACTATTCCTCTTCTAAGTGGCAACAACGTTTTAAACACTTCAGCATTCAAAACAACCAACTTCGCCCCGAACGCTTGACAATAAACAAGGTCCCCCGAAACAACGTGAGGATCAGGCTGCGCATGTGAAAACGGGTACGACATTGTGACTGAAGTGCGTAATCCACAGACATTGTGACTGAAGTGCGTAATCCACAGGTCTCGCATCGAGCATGTCCTCAAGCAGGAAGGCGATAACCCATGCCGGATCGTGCTATTTTTCTTCGGCTATCCGAGCCCCGAGCGTGCTGAAACGTAGCCTATGTATAGCTATAATTTCTGGCCATCTGTACAAACCAGGTTTTGCCTGAAACCCAAATCTGAGTGTGAAGAGCAGGTCCCCCCCAAGCTTGAGTCCCTGGTCAGGGTGTCTCTCCATGAGGTATGTTCAACAACTTGCGAGGGAGCCCGAATTACTTGGGGAGGCCCCGCAGAGGAACTTTCGCACTTCCTTGTGAACATGTGTTGAACAGCAACTGCGTCCCTTTAAATTACGGAACGTCGGCGCCGACTGAGCGCATGATCAACACAAACGAATTGAATCGATGCCTGTTCAGCGAAACACACCCAGTGGGGTTGCATTGTCCCCGGAAATTTCTAGCAGTGTCAAATTGTACAGCGAGTGCGAATTGAAAATGTTCATGGATCTTGCACGTTCACCTGGAACCTCCTCTGGGCGTGCCCATGCAATATTTGCCTGAAAACTATATGCGAGCGCCAGTTTTTGGATTGGACGTAGAACCTGCATCCCTGCTGGCCGTGCTAGCAAGCCGGCAACACCTCTGGCGCAGGAAAATGGTCATGACATACGACGCATTCCGCAACTTGCGCCTTTGGCGGCATCTATGGTGTAGGAACAACTATGACTTTTGGCCTGTCAGAGCAGCCAGCTGCTTCCTTGGTTCAAGCATGAGGTCCCATAGCTCGCGCTTTTGATAAAGCTCCAAACCATGCAGTGCCATTCTGCAATTTTTAAACTGCTGAGCTTCCTGGTGCACACGAGGCTCCTTATTCAGCTAAGATTTAGGTGTAACCTTCTTAATATACACTCCCAATATTTAAGGGCTATCTGCTCATCCACTGATCAATGCCCTGACGCGGCCACCCCAAGGTTTCAAGATCATGGGACTTACATCGTAACTACTTACAACGGGGCTAGATGCCCTTGCGAAACTCTCTCAGCATGCCGGGTTGCAAGCCAGTTAAACCAAATCTCTTTTCCTACATATCTACACATTTATCCTTGTCCTACAGTGTTCCCATATACCCGTACGTACATACATACATGCATCCATAAATGCATGCAGACACACACACACATATATATGTACATGTTCATATCCTTTTATTCCATATCACTCTGTATCTCATATGGCCGTTTTAAACGGACCCCCGAAATCAGTTTGGTCACTGCAGATCGGCAATCACCCCGCCCTGATCCTTCGCGCGGGCTGTTTCAGGCGATTTCCCACTGTCGGTGTAGGTACAGGTCGGGGGTAGATGCGGTTAGGGTTTATTGGGACAGTGCCAAAGGCAATGTTGTATGTTGTATGTACGTAGAAACCACCATAAAGGTCCCCAATTATCTGTTCATGACTACTGTGTGGCTGAAGGATTTACCATATAGATACATGGACCCTTTAAAGGTCTCATAAGGTTACCGTTCAAAAGATGTTACCCATATGCTTTTCGCAGTTGCAGGTCAAGGACTCGTCCTCGCAATGCAGTGTGTGGATTTGGATTTGGGATGTACCCTGTTGGGTGCTTTTTTGATGCTGATCTACTGAGCCACAGTTTTTGTGTCTTGGAGTCGTCTATCGAAAAAGGCGCCGGCGCTGCCGCGACATCTATGCTCTTTCTCATGCCGTATACACATGCAAGATGCCCACAAACAGCTTGAAGATGTTGAAAGTTTCATGACACTGACCTGCTAATCCTCCCAGATGATCCATGTAGCCGTAGCTACCCAAGGCTGTCCTGCGTTGGCTGGCCTTGAGGCATCTGCTGGCCCTGGGGCGCCTGTTGGCCCTTCAGTGCTGCGATCTGGTTCCTTGGTACATGGCAAGCCTGACATGCCGTGCTTTTTTTGCAAGTCCTCACAACAGCTGCTGTCACTGGTGTGGCAAGTTGTACGGTACTTCTTGGTCTTTCCGCAATTTTCGCCACGGCTACTGTCGCACGTGCCGTGCATGCGAAGAATGCAACACATATGCGCGGCACGGATTCCAAATTTTCACCTAGTAGATACAGCACAAGGTCATGATAGCAAACACATCTTCCCACTTCAGGATGTCAATCTGCCTTGCGGTTCCATTTGAACACCTTGCTTGGTGTTTCCCGCCAATTCAGAAAATGCCCGGATAGAGTGTACGTAGCGCCTAGCGCTGGTAAAAAATGAGCATCAACATCTTTTAACAAACAATTCGTGATAACCAGTCAAATGACGACACCCTGTACAAACCCATGCCCTGAAGCGTCTTGAGTTCTTCGATCTCGCGTTTCTGCTCGTCGATTTTGCGTTCATCCTCCACATTGACTCCATATGCCACAAGGGCAGCAACCAACATTTTGCACCAGACTTCGCTGGAACGCTCATGGTGTGGCTGCCTATGGAAAACCTCATGAAAGTCCTGTAGCTGCTGATTCTGGAGCAGCTGGTCCGTGTTGGACGGCCCAGTGGGCACTGGCATCGGGAAGGGGTCGAAAATTCCTGCCCAGTGTACGTTGAAACAGGCTATGGCGATACTTCCCTGAAAGTAATAGGCCGCCTGCCTCCAAAGCCAAACGGGCGATATCCAAAGCCACCAAATCCAAATGGCGAAATAACAGGGCTGCCGATTCCTGAGCTCCCGCAAGGCCACAAAATTGATCTCTATGGAGTCTGGCTTACGCTAGACCACAACATGAGTCATGCTTTCACGCAATCCAAGCAGCCAATGGAAATGTTTGGCCCTCCACCCATCCTAAACGAACAAGCTCAAGCTGCTTTCAATTTGCCTGGATGCATACTCATGACTGCTGCTGGGATGTGGGCCTTGTGCTGCTGCTGCTGCTGCTGCTGTTCTGGCGGGCTGATGGCGGCGGGCGAGAGGTCGGCCCTGGCCCTGATGGCCTAACAACATTAATCGCATTTATGCCAACGACATCTGTCACCATTCAGCACATTCCTCACCTAGGACGTGTGATGTAGCTGGTGGAAAACAGCGGCCCATGCGCATTGTCGCCTCCGCGGCATTGACTGTCTGCTTGTTCGTGGCGCCGACATCCTCTTAATGGTGTGAACTTGCTGCCCTATGCTTGCGGTATTGCATGACTCACATCCCGCGTCAGCACATCAGCGAACTCCACATGTGCAAATTACAACCACATCCTAGCAATCAGCCTTGGTGCCCTGGATGCGGACATCCTGCAAGGCTGCACGTCACGGTGAGTCCACAAGCCAATTGCTAGGATCTACTTGGCAAAAACGAAACAACAGCGCACGGCATGCGCAGTTTCATGCGCGGATGCATCGCCACAATACATGTAAAATCTGTTTGCGTATGTCAGCGTCTGCGCTTGTTCGTCAAGCAGGTGGGCCTGCCACCCATGCGCCCACCGGATCGAGCAGCCTCTGCACCATCAAGCGGCAGCAACGTAATCCTTAGCCACCCAAGAATGTTGGGGACGCAATGGACGGGTTCGTAACAGAGCGAACTTTTGGCTGAGCGGATTAATAAGAATGGGTACGGATTAAAGGGACAGAGCCCCACACCCCCCTCCCCCATGCACAAGTTTGCCGAAAATTGATTGGGTTTAATAGTATGACCCCCCTTTAATGCAGCCAGGGTGGCCTAGTTTAAATGGCATGCCAATGTTGCAAATATCTTCTGGCAGAACCAAGGCGCACGATTGCCAAGCAAGCTGCGGCCGACATCCGAATCAGCGCTGGCCAAGGAGTCTCTGTTTCTTTCACTGGCATTGGTGTCGCTTCCTGACCTGCCTTGAGCGACTGCTGTTGCCATCTCTGTTGATATGCTGCCCGCGGTGGCGCCTTTGTCACTACACCAATAGAGAACAAATATAGTGATGGAAAGGATAACAAGTACATCATGACCGTCTTTCATGGCAGGTGCAACCCAGGCGCCTTCGAGTTTCCAGCGCCCGGATTCGCAAAAGTGAATCCGAACATGGCCATCGTAGCGACTGCCCCACAAGCAATCAGCAATCGCATGACGAACCGGGCCATGGCTGGCAACAACCGGCAATGATCACAGCACGTGGGGCGCGTCAAAATTTCTCCTTGAGAAGTGAGCAGCCGCAACATGAAGAATGACGGCCAACCAAGAGCACTGCAAAATGCGGATGTGCTTTCTAAACAAGCTGCTCACTGGACACAAGCATGTACTCGGCCTGGAATGGCAGGTGCGTCGAAACAAAACGCACCGAGTTGCAATTTTGAATGGGGGATTGAGTGTGCCTGGGAGTAATTATCTGTTTAACAACAGTACATGTCAAATCGGGTGCTCTGCCCTGCACGGTATGTAGCTGATGTAATTGCATGCCAATCCGTGGACGCAAGAGAACTCAGGCAACGCCGTTCAACGATTGCCTGGCTCGATGTGGAGCCGAAATGGCGACAAGACATCACAGACCTGCACTTCATGCATGTGGATTCGAATCTGTGCACGACGTGAAAGGCTGCACCATGCTCAAACCCACATTCCTCCATGACACATTGCATGCCGCAATAGAATACGCCTGGTTTGCAACACGACGTAAACAACCGTGCCACTTCAAGAACACTTTGTGCGTTCAAGCCATGGGATAAGTCCCTCCCAGGCACAAGAGTTCGGGGTGTAGGAAGCGTATGCGGATGCACGAGCTGTATTTCGAGTTGAAACATGAATACGCGCAAGCACCAACAACGCAATGACATTTTACATTGCGGCAGCTCACGGTTGATGCCACCCAAACTTCTCCCTCAGCCTGGATGCGTTTGCTGTCGTTGCCGGTTTGGCGTTGAAGTCGGCAGGCGACAGGGCATTTTTTGGTTTGGGTTCCTGCAAAATCTCCATTGCTGCAATGCTGCTTGTCAGCCAAACCGCCAGCGAGGAGGCGGCGGCCCAAGACCTGGATGTAACAACGTTCAAAGCCACCATTCAACATCCGCGGAAATTCCGCGCTTATGATTCACGCGCCTGACAATATTTGGACGGCGGATTCGGTGCGACCTGAAGGAACAAGACTTTTGCCCGCCAGCCCGAATCCCTCGAACCAAGCATTGCGCGGTTTGGGGCGGGCCCAACAGCATCAGACGGCAGCTGCGTGCGCACAGGTACCATGAAGAGCGTCGAAATTCTGAAGCGTAAACATGGTCCTCAAGAATTGAATTTTCCCAATTTTTGGGAATCAACATTCAGAAGCTCCAAAGCTAAGCGTGTTTCACATTGGGACATGAATGGATGGTTCAAGCTTGCGAAAACTGCAATCTCCTGAGCCAATCTCGGCGAGATTGGGCCGATCTGATTCATTTTCCGAGCGCGCCAGTCGGACCTGGTCTATTGAGACTAGCCGCCCTGTAATGTCTACGGTGGTTCTGAACAACCCTTTTTAGCCAGCACGTTATTACTCTGTTTTAAGGCTGGAGGGATTGGATTTAGGCAGCCCCCTCCCACTAGCAGTGCCAAATGGCTCTGACTACCAAATACACGGGCCAACAGTAGCACCAGTAAATGAAATGAAAAACAAAAAAAATCATTCCCTTTTGAGATTTGGCCATGTGAGTACACGTGGGATCATTCTCCATGTCCCCATGCCGCTGCGATCAGGGAGACCCAAATTCATTGGTACATTATTTCTACAGGGAGACCACCCATGCAAATAGAAGTGGGCCTAGGCTTAATGTGATAACTCCCTATGTGGGTTAATGTGCCACCACACTGCATAGTGGCAGCAAAGCTGCAGCTGAGCCCATCCAGCTTCAGGCTCACGCTTATCCAGCCCGTTCCCGCCAGCAGGCCCCAGCTGAGGCTGGACGGCTGCAGCTGCCGGGCTCCCGCGAATTTACGCATTCCTTCGAAATTTCAAATTACGAGGCACAAAAAACAACACCAATTAGAAACACGTTGAGCAAAAAAACGTCAGGAAAACACAACCAAATAAGAAATACGAGCACGAATACGAACACCAAAACAACCGACAGAAAAACACAACAAAACAAACACACAAATCAGAAAACACGCTGAGCAAAAAAACATACGTTAGAAAATACGAGCACAAATACCAGCACCAAAAAAACACATCAGAAACGCACAAAAAACACGAAACAAAAAATCGCCGAGCAAAAAACAACAAGAAAAAACACATGTTAACAAACAAAATGAGAAAATACGAGCACAAATACGAGCACAAAAAATAACATTAAAAACACAAATTCAAAGATACATTGAAAACACAGCGCCAAGAAAGCACAATAACAACATACAAATTGGAACATACGAGCACAAACAAAAAACAAAAAATCAGAATTTCCTGGACTTGGGTCTGTTTTTTTTTTGCACTCTGCTATTGAAACCCAATTGCTGAAAACACACATACGAGCACAAAAAGGACAACAACTTTTTGTTGCCAGGCAGTCTTCGCCCGTATATTAACAGCGCACAAAAAACACAAATCAGAAAGGGTATAGTTCCATTAAGCTTCCTGGGTTTTGCTCGCGTATATACAATATACATATGTGCATACACACACATACATATGACTATTTATATATATGTTTATACATGTACATACATATTTACATACGGTAACCAGAGCACCCATGAACCATAACAACGTTCGTGGTTCGAGAGCATACGGTAACCAGAGCATCCATGCCCCAACCATGATAACGTTCGTGGTTCGAGAGCATACGGTAACCAGACCTGTTCCGCGATGATTTTCTTGCAGGTGCTTCCGCGATGCTTCCGTGAACAGCGTCTGTAGTCTCCTCATATGTTTCGCGCTGTCGCCAAGAGCTTCCGCAAGAGCTTCCGCGAGCTTCATGCTTCCGCGAAACCTTCCGCATGGTTCCGAGCGCACAGCGCGAAGTACATGAAACAATCCTCAAAATTATATCCGTACCTAAGTATCGTCAGACAAGTCCAAAACAACAAAAAAAACTCAAAGCTGTAAGTACAAGCACAAATACGAGCACCAAAAAAAACATCAGAAACGTACGATAAAACGGCACAAATTAAAAAAGATACCTTGAATAAAAACAGCACTACGAAAACAAAAAAAGTAGAAGATACGCTGAAAAACAACAAACAGGAAAGCAGGCAAAAAAAAAGAGCATAGGAACAAAAAAAAAACAATACCGGAAAACACCAAAACATTGAGCAAAAAACATGAGGAAGGCACAAAACATAAATTACGAGCACAAATACGAGCACCAAAAAATCAAAATCCATTTCTGGCCCGGAAACTTTTGAGTAAATGGGTTACGTTTTGAATATGAAAGGCCCCCCGGCCGCCCCAGGCTTGGCCCACCGCCCCTGAGCCTGACCCAGGCCCTCCCAAGACTTCAAGTTTGCGAGGTTTCATGATCCCTGCCGCAAATGGCGCAAAGGAGATAGCAGGCAACAAATATCATCAGGTGTAGATGTGGAATGTAATTAGATTTGCCATTAGTACTGGCAGGGGCTGGCATCCAGTGAGTAATTCTTATTGTTTGTTTTTTTTCATCAGCTCTTTTTGCAACCGTCTTGCGCGGCCCCAGTGCACGGGCCAAGACCGCAGTAATCCAAGGCAATCCAGTGAAGTCCAAGGCCGGCAAAGCAAACTTGGACGCCGGCAGGCTAGCTGCGGCTAGCTGCATGCAAGGAGGCGGTGGGGAAAGGCGCATCGGAGGGACGATCTGCATGCAGGAGGTCGCTACTGTAAGCTCGGG